TTATTCTGGTTTAAGTTTTTACAATAAACGTAGAACAATGTTCGCAACTTTGTTGCAGTTCTAAGTTACTTCTAATTCTCCTTTCCATCGATAAATTGAATATCAAAAATAGGATTTAAGGAAAACAATCTAAAGATAATACTTACACTTGGAATATTAAAAATCCATATTTTTAAATTCCGTATTATTGCGTCCGATGAACAAAGTCAGCGAGAAGGGACGAGTGAATTTTTTTAGAATTTACCGATTCATTAGATTCTGTCCAAACGTTCATTACAAAATGCGTAATCAATTCGCACAAATATCGCAGCAAATAGTTGTTCGCTTCTCATATATCGGATTGTTGCAAACATAATTTCAATTCATTCGCAAACTATTTATTTCAAAAATCGAAATTACTTTCGCAACGAACTAATATTATCGCGTCGATAAAAGAAACGCCGAAGACACGCGTCGCTTCGACGTTAAATTGTTCCTCTGAGAAAAATTGAATGCGCGAACGCTGGTTTCGCAACTTGTATTCCGAAACGGCGCGTTTCGAGTGGTTATCCGTTTGCTGAAATACGGCCCTCGGAATCGATGCTCCTTCTCACGGTTGTGTGCTGTAGCATCATTTTCCGGCTCAGCGGCTTCCTATCAAATAGTGCTTCAGGTTCCCGTCGTCACCGGCAAGATCAGATCTTTTGTGCCCGCGCCCCGTGTTTCTTTCAGCGTGGATGCGCCAATATGGTAACGTACGGGCGCACACGTTGCTGACTTTGAAGCAGGTAGATCCACGTGCTGGCACGTGTGCGCCGACAGATACAAACTTAATCGGCCGTGCCGTCTACCACGTGCCGTGAATTTAAGTATATTCGAAAACGTCGATCTGCCGCTTCTCGAGGCTGCAACATGAAATTACAAAGACGCCGATCAGCCGTTTAATTTCGCGCGGACGCCGCGCAATGTCTGATAACGTCGCGTCGCGTCGCGATAATTCGCGTTGTTAATATCGAGCGACTGTTATTTCGGGTGGCCATTAATGCAACTGCAACTGTAATCGTTCTGCAATTATGTCGCGTACACGTCTGCAAAATGTTATCTGTTTCGAATTCTATTTCGAACGAGAGATCGCGAAATTGTTATATTAACCCTTAAATGCACCGTGTTGCCATTTGGCAACATACAGAAGAATATTTTGTTTTGTAGCCGATTGGCTATATACGATAATTTTGTAATAAAAAACTATTTTCCTAAAGATATAATTTTTTTCTTCGCTTTTTTCCCTTAATACACACTCATTTTTTAAATGAAGTTTGATAAGTAGAAATTGAAAACAAAAAGTCATGCATTTAAGGGTTAA